CCGATTTGCCTTCTTTCGCAGAAAATTTTTCAGCGAATTGTTGATAAGCGTCTTCGTGATATCGTCCAGCTCTCTACCAACCAGTGTGGCTTCGTGACTGGCTGTAGCACCATCGACGCCATACATGCCGCTCGCCTCTTGCTGGAGAAACATCGTGAGAAGAAGAAGCATGCTAGCCTTCCTTGATCTGGAGAAGGCATTCGACCGTGTCCCACGTGAAGTTATATGGTATGCCTTACGGCAGCACGGCGTTCCCGAAGAGCTGATTGAGTGGGTACGCATCCTGTACTTCAGCCCGACGAGTCGAGTGCGAAGTCCAGCAGGCATTTCGATGGGGTTCCCCATCACAGTTGGGGTGCACCAAGGCTCAGCGCTTTCCCCGCTGCTCTTCGTTGTCGTCATGAACGCCATTTCACGGGACCTCCAGAAGCCGGCTCCTTGGACGCTTCTCTACGCTGACGATGTGATGCTCGCCTGCGAGGATAAGAATGGTCTCGAGGAACAAGTGCAAGCTTGGACTGAGCGCTTGGCGAACTTTGGACTCAGACTGAACGTCAAGAAAACCGAGTACCTGACAACCGACTTCAAGTGAGCCCAGTTTCCTTAGGACCGAAGGCAGTGAGCTAACGCGTACGATGACGTTCAGATATCTCGAATCTACATTGTACTCTGATGGCGGTCTGGACTCGGAGAAGTGAGCGCGTGAGTGCTGCCTGGTCTCAATGGCTGGCGTTCTCTGCGATAAGACGATACCAGAGCGCCTCAAGTCGAAGATCTATAGAACCGTCGTTCGACCTGCTGCGATATACGGTGCTGAATGTTGGCCTCACGACCAAGGAAGTTGAGGCCCGAATCCAGGAGTGATGGAGATGAAAATGCTGCGATGGACGGCCGGCGTCACGCGTATGGATCGCATTCGCAATGACAACATGCGCAAGAAATCCGGTTTAGCTCCGGTAACCGAGAAATGCGCGAATCTCGCCTCCGTCGATACATTCATGTACTGCGCGCAAATTCTGACACCGTCCGTAAGACTGGTCTCGAGCTCGAGGTGCTCGAAAAACGGACCTAAGGGACGCCCCAAACAGCGATGGCTAGACACGTTGCATGCGGACTTGAAGATAGTTGGCACCCATCGCGACCAGGCATCCAATCGGGAGAAGTGGCGTAGCATAATAAAAAGAGCGGACCCTACATCGGAGCGGGGAAAGCTGAAGAATTACTAACGCTATAATCCAAGGCGAGCACAACACTGTAACCACGGCTACAAACACCTGGTATTTGCAGTTTGCCGCGCGCGCGACGCCGTGTGATCTCAAAGTCCGTCTGTGAAGAGGGTTTGTTTGTGAACTGCCGTATAGGAGTACTGGAGTTACGGCGCCACCTGCGATGTTTTGGACTTTTTTCAAAACGGCCCCCTCTGAAGGGTTTCACATGTTCCTCCATAATAGGACTGTTCTTTGCAATCACTTTTTTCATTCATCTAGTTTCTATGCATTATCTTTTATGTGCTCTTCTTATTGTCGAGAACACTTTTGAATACTGCTTTGAAACCTGCAGTGCTTGAAGCACTGATTTTTTTTCAAAGGAGAGCAGCAATCGGGCTCTTACATTTCGCGATAAGTTGTAGAAACCAGTAAGTCTCGCTGTGATTTCATTCAAAGAATACACATAAATTGATAACATCCGAAAAAAAGCAGAAGCTTTCATATTTTGTGTAGATGATTCAGGAATTTCGACTAAGATTGCTGCTGTTAGATTTATTATGATAAGTTGCTGTTGCTCATATTCCAGTTGGTTCAAGTGGTTTTATCACATTTCATGAGAGTCACAAAACTAAACGACATAAAGCTCCGGTGGTTGAACTCATTTCAAAGCAAAAAAACAAGAAATACAATACAGGAGAGCCAATGCGCTTCTCCTATGTATGCATTTAGGTTACGCGAGTCACAACTCTTGCTTGTGTGCATTTTTGCTATTTTGGTGATAAGGATCGCATTTCAATAAAACGAACGCATCCACTTCCATTCAAAAAACTTCGCCTTTTCTACAAATGTTGTCAGTTCATGTGTATTCCTCGAACAAAACTGCAAGGAATGTCATTGGTTGAGACTACGCGAGGGTCCGGTAGATACGTTCGCGCGACGTCGCGATCGCCGCGCGCGCGTACTCTAAATGGAATATTGTATGTTGACGCCTATACCTATCTTCAAAAAATTTTCCACGGAAAGTACACCGCTAGGAGATGTGACCAAAAAAATAGCAAAGGTGAGTATCCGAGGAAATGACAAGAGACTAGATAGTAGAAGTTTAGCGCAAACCACAGAAAAGATCATCTTTTCTCTCCTGGAACAAGAAGATCTCTTACAAGGGAATGGTTTGAACTTCCCATGGTAAATTTGAGTGGAGACCTAAGTACATCGATAGAGCCTCGAATGCTGATCACGAAAGCTATGGGGATCTCGCAGACAACTGGGAGGGGGGAGGTCAAATTTCGCTATAAATGCAGTGTCGGCAGGGCACCACTGAACGGCGGTGCCTTGGCAGCGCGGCCTAATGGTATCGGTCTATCTTCAAAGCCGAGTTAACGGTCCAGCGGAACGAGTAGATCAAGAAGGTCAAGTATATGATGCAGTAGATCAAGCATGGGTCTGGTCACTATTTGCCCCTTGTGGACTCACATGAATCCATCAACTCGAAGTTTTGGCCAGAATCACAATTTGGCCAGGAGCTCGCTCTTGGGGGTATTGACGTCCGAACATTAATACCATATCCATTTGACGAAAAACGCCAGCAGCCTGCGCCTTTGATATGCGCCTATGTAATTTATTAGGTTGTCCGGAAAGTTCTCAGCGTTTTGAGTGTTTCACTTTAAACGATCATAACTTTCTTAATACTCATCGGATTTAACACGTTGACGACGGTGTCGGACAATGGTGGGCGACAGCCAGTCTGTCTCATGGGACGGTGTCGGACAATGCTGTCCGACAGCATACTGCTCTAATAATAAAGACGTGCGAGCAACCAAGTTTGTTCAAAAGATGTCTATAGGAGTAGGCTGAAATTCTGAAACGAACAGCATAGTGGTTTGGCCCGGACTGCCCGGCGCCCGCGCCACAGGCGCCGGCGCCAAAATACCTTAGGTCACCAAAATCGTTGAAAACTTGTCTCGTGGGGTAGCTTGAGCCCCTGAACACGAATATCACATTCGTTTCCCGCCCACAGGCGCTGGCGCCAAAATACGTTAGGTCACCAAAATCGCTGAAAACTTGTCTCGTGGGTAGCTTGACCCATTTACACGAATATCACAATCGCTTGCCACAAAACTGCCTGGCGCCCGCGCCAAAATGTCCTAGATCATCAAATTTCCTGGAAACTTGTCCCTACCGGTGAACCGACCCCCTCAACAAAAATATCATGTCCACTTAACGCGTTGACGAGGATTTCCGTCAATGGTGGACGACAGAAAGTTTGTCTTGTGGAACGGCGTCGCCCAATGCTGTCCCACAGTTATTATATAACTCAAAATCTGCGCGATTGTTTCACTTACTTTTCATAAAATTAGTTCAAGAACAAACATTTTCGGGTCGAGGGATGCGATATTGTTCTTTAGGAGATCAAACCACCCCGGGAGACAAATTTTAGTCAATTCTGTCTCCAGAGGAAGAATTTGGTAAAAAATGGCCTGATTTTGGAAGATTGGAGCAATAAGAGCTAAATTGTGTCAAAGATTCGAGATTGCTATACTCGTCTCTTGCATTTCTCGATACATTTTGGTCGTAGTAATTCATTTATTTGGAAATTACTAAGTTTCAATGTAGAAAAATGTGCCGTCCCAGGCGCAAGTCATGGGAAAAATGGCTCGTCGTCAACGTGTTAATCGAAATAAGCACCGTTCGAATCAGCACACTTTTGCCAATGTGACACCAGTCGATAAATCCCATCAAAAAAACTGGGTGGTCGAGAATCACGAAATCCACGAAGGCTTTTTTGCCTGGTCCTGATTGATGAAGTATTTTCCAGCAAGGAAGTTCTGAAAATGTTTGAAAAGGTGATAGTCGGTTGGTGAAAGGTCTGGAGAATATGGCGGGTGAGGTAGAACTTCAACCCCCAATTCGTTCAATTTATGGATAGTGATTTGTGAAACGTGTGGGCGGGCGTTGTCATGCAAAAGAATCGGACCCTTTTTGACAAGTGCTGGCTGCAGCTGACGCAATTTTCGGTACATTTCGTCGATTTCTTCACAGTAGGACTCTGCTGTGATGGTTTGACGGTTTGGCCTGGTGACAAAAAGTTAAAGTGGATCACACCAGTCGATGAGCA